TTATTATTATTGAACATATTTATACAGGATAATATATTGGGAGGATGTAACAGCCTGTTTTACATGGTCCTATTTTGCGATACAAGCACTTATATAAAATACTAAGAAGTTACGTTAATAAAATTGATAATGACTTTGTGATAAAAAGCTTAATCTAATTCAGTTATTAAATACTTAAAGCAAGTTGAATTTTATTTTATACTTTCGAATAAAGAAATAATTGTTGATAACTGAAAAAATGAAATGTGTTTCTATTCATGTTACATCAAAGAATAAAGCTATACAAAAATCATGGCCATGAATGTGTCAGTAGAGAGAGAACTTTAATGTTTTAAAAATATATTTTCTGATCAAATTAATTATCAAAAATTGACTGATTGAAATCTGATTTGCTCAGATATTAAAATTGACTTCTGTTTAAAGCACTAAATATTATTCAAATATTTAATGTCCTATTTTCCATCTAATTAGCTGTTTATATAGTGTTTAAATTAGTATTATTATACTGGAATGAATTATGGGAGAAAGGACATTTTTATGGAAGTAAACTCAAAGTAAGTACTTGCTCTCAATGCCATAGCTGTTGGGACAGTCCCACACAATTTTTCTATTAGATCCTCAAAGAATGGGTCCATATTTTTAAAATGGGTAAAGATTTCTCATATTTTGTGTAAAATGGGTCAACTTTTGTGTCCAGATTTCTAATATTTTACGTATGTTTCAATTTTTCAAGAAAATGGGTGCAGATTATTCATATTTTTATGTAAAATGGTACAACTTTTAAGAAAATGGGTCCACATTATTTGAATTTACGCGTAAAATGGGTTCACCCTTATATTGTTCCACACTATTTGAAAATCCTGGTTACAGCATTGCTTACTCTATGTGTGATGTAGTAGAGCTGCTGGCCAGCAAAGTCCCAAATGTAAGTCATATCTTCATTTCCATTCTCCCTTGATTTTTTCTCATCCGGTTTCAACATTCGGTTAATAATTCTGTGTTGAGTTTCACTTGGAAGCTCTTCTGTTGAGCTGTTGTCACTACTTGATGAATCATCGTCACTACTTGTACTCTGGTTCTCAAATGAATCGTTGTCACTACTTGTACTCTGGATCTTAGATGAAGAATCTTCATCTTTAAAATTACAAAAAAATATTAGGAAATGATTATTTCTATCAAATTCTAACCAGTAATCATCATTGATTATAAAGATGATAGTGAAAATGTGATGTATGAGGATGATTGTGGTGGTGGTTTTGGCAGTATAATGGGACAATGTCATAATGATTGTACAGTAAATTCAATAATTATAAAAAAAGAAGTGTTTGATCATAATTACAATGATGATATGCGACACTAGTGGGCATATGATGATAACAATTGATGACAACATAAAATGTTTCCAAGAAACAAATCAATATTGACCATTACAGCCCATGATTGGTGTAGGCCACAGTGGTCTATATTGTGTTTGTGTTTGCAATTATGAAAAATAATTATGGAACTGCACAATCAAAATCTTGTTTAATGAATGATTAATGTGAAAATGATATTGTAAACTTATTACATTGACAAGCTTCACTTTTTTCTGTTGCAGTTCCTTCCGGCATTTCATCCTGTGTATAAATATAATATAAAAGGAATTAATATCTCAATACATATATTAAATATTATATCATTTATAAAAAAACAACAAAAACCTATAGATTAGATAATACAGAGCAGTAGAATACAGTTTGGTTCCTCCCACTGATGCCAGTCACAAAAGAGGCAGTGTTTTCAAGCAGCATTCAAATTATATGCTGGGTCCAGTGGTGGTCGAGAAATGTCCGACAGAGGGACATGTCCAACAGAGTGTCCGAATCATGGGGCCGACTAGAGCTTCTTTAGGGTCCTTCCCAGAATAATAATGCCTGATAGGGTTAATGGGGAAAGTGTTTATGGGTGCTTAGTATTGCCCAAAAATTGTGCTTTTAATAATAATATTAATAATAATATATCAGACATTTTACCGCACCAATTCAAAATAATATCCACCATATAAGGCGCCAAGTAAAGAATAGACCAGAATAAAAAGCTTTAAAAAATAAAACAGTTTAAGGATATCTTTTTGAATAAAACATCAGTAAAAATTCAGGACGTACTGGTTCAACTGTTGGTTCAGGTATCTGTTCAGCTGCTGGTTCATGTATCGTTTCGCCTGCTGGTTCATGTATCGGTTCAACTGCTGGTTCAGATATCGGTTCAGCTTCTGGTTCAAGTATCGGTTCAGCTGCTTCTTCAGTTACAGGTTCAACTGCTTGTTCCGATATCGGTTCAACTGCTGGTTCAGGTATCGGTTCAGCTGCTGGTTCAGTTACAGGTTCAACTGCTGGTTCAGTTACAGGTTCAACTGCTGGTTTAGGTGCCGAATTGTGTTCCTCTGTTTGCTTTCCTATAAATTTTAATTTCTCAGCAACTTTATCTTCTATTGCATTAACACGTATCTGTTTGATCCGATTACAATCTGCAAATGAAATTATAATTTCAAACAGTAGTTTGAACAAGCCGCAGCATATCAACAAGATACAAAAAGATGTTTTAATCTAAAGTTATATAAGGGATTTGTTCTAATACCGTCAATATCCTCTTCCTCTTTCCACTCACTACAATCAACGTTAGTAGCTTGAAATGCTGTTCTCAATACTATCCCATCGGTTGATGGTTCTTTGTCATTAAATCTGTGAAAAGGTAAATGCAGAATTAAATATAATGAAACTGATCACAAGTGATAGAAAACAAGGGTTAACATATTTCGGGAACATAAATATATTTATTTATACACAAATGCTCAGTCGTCCCTGCAACCTTCTTCAGAATATATTGTATATATAATAGAAATGTGCGAGTGTGAAAAAATCGCCACCCACCCAGGATTCCAAACTATCTGTATGCATAATGTGGGTGTGTGAAGGTGTGTGTATTACACATTATTTCCAATAATCCCAGGTACTACAATCATTACAGACTTAAAATATTCAAAGAAAAAGTAGGCCTACACAAATGGATATTACATGCATTGACAAAGACTTCAGAAACTTACGGTTTTCCAAGCAGAGTGTTTACCAAACTGGTTTTTCCAACGCCCGCTTCTGTCTCTTATACACATCTAGATGTGTATAAGAGACAGATAATTGTTAATAACTTTGTGAAAAAATGAAATGTGTTTCTATTCATGTTACATCAACGAAGGCTTCATGGTTGAACAGGTCCAAATAACCGTCAGGAACATTGTATTACACAACGGTACTCCTCAAGAGGGCGTTCGGCCAGATAAATCTGGAGATCACGGCTAGAAATAAATACTGTCGTATATTGTAGGAAGTTATCCGTTAACCCTCTTGATACCGGATTCTTTTGTAGTGCAAACCCTTGAATTCTTTTGCAGTGTAACAAGGTTTTTTGCGTTTTTTGAGTATACTTCGTTCTGGTGGAATTTTGGGAACTTTCTGTAATTTATACAGAAAAATGTTTCGAAAAACAAAGAAAGCTTATAGAATAAGCTTTCATTTGATGTATAATTTATAATTTTTGGATTTTTTTTTCATAATATAATATAATATATATAATACAATAGAAATGACAGAAAAATGCTACATATAAATCGTCAGCAAAAACCGAAAAAAAAAAAGTAAATTAGAGATTCCACACAGTTATATAATTTATTTACCCAACCATCCATAACTATAAGCACAACCTTTCCATTCAAAAGCATCGACCACCCTCACATTTCTAAGCCTAGGCTCATCTTCATCAAGAACATCTCCGCCGTCAGAACTGCTTGAAGCCCCACCGTCATCATCGCTATCAGGCACGTCTAAGTCTCGCACATCTAAAAACTCGCCTTTATCGCTGTCTGAATAAAAAATCAAGCCAATCGCTTCCTCAGCTGTGTACACATCTTGTGCGGCCATTTTGAAAAATTTTTGAAATTAATAACGATTTCAAATTGATATTTCTAAACATTTTTTATAAGCGCATGTGAGTTCACAGATTTAAAAAGAAAAAAGCTTCACGCATGTGTGTTCAAAATTTCTGACGTATTGGAGCTAAAATAAAAACAGAAGAGCGATTTGAAAACCACCTATTTTTTAGTCACTAAATTTCGACTACACTCGAAAATGGGAATTCTCGGTTTGAGGTCAATTTCGACTACAGTTGAAGACGGTATCTAGAGGGTTAACACTGTTGAATAAATATAATATAAATCATCAAAGGTACACATACAGTGTTTAATAAGGACTTGATGGAACATCGTAGGCTACCTTAGTAGCTTTTCAACAAATAAAGTAAATATCTGGCCGAACACCTTCTTGGGGAGTACCATTGTGTAATACAATGTTCCCGACGGTTATTTGGACCTGTTCAACCATGAAGCTTCGTGGTCTAGTGGTTATGACGCTCTAAAAAGATAATTAATAATAATAAAATAATAAACATATACTACCATACATAATATAGGCCAACACAGTGGCGGCGCCAGGGTGAGTCTAATTTTCTTGCTCTATCTATAAAATCGATTAAATAAGCCTCTGAAATTGTCATATATTTTTCAGGGGTTTCGCCCCCCCCCCCCCGGACCACTTTCAAGACATTCTGAGCGACGCCCGACCTGCCCATTTCGGGCCACCCTAGCATATTTCCTCCTACAATTTTACCTTTCCCTCACTTGCTCTCCCGCACCCCCCACCTTTTCCAGATTTCAGACGCTGGCGTCACCACTGAATGTACACTGTATATTACACATAGGCCTATATAGCCGGCCAATATAATAATAACCAATATAGATCTACGGACATAAAAGACGATTGTTTCTTAAACGTTTCATGCTAAATATACAAAAAATGAATAAACAAATAATCAATATGAAACAAAAAGAATATTAATTAAATATAAATTTATGTTCTTATGAACAGCTCACTTTTTATGAGATGCATGAGCGTTTCTTTCTGTGTTTGTTTGCTTGTAGAAACGTACTTCCTACATTTGTTCTTCCTATACACTTCAGCTGGAGTTCGACCACGCTGCAATGACAATCACAGATCATACCTCAGCTTCAACAAATATTATACAAAATAAAAATCATAACAAAAAAATTAATTGAATAAATTTACATTCTATTTAATTATTCTTTTAATTTTATATTTGCATTGTGTAGAGATTTATGTTATGCTAATTGAAGGGAGTAGGATCAGTGGTAACAATTACGAAAACCCTTTATGTGTCGTGGTAGGCTTACAGCTACATCATTACAGGATGGAATTTGGCGCTATAAAGGTGTTGTATTGATCGTCGTCGTCTTCATAACCATCATTTTCTTTTTTTTAGTTATAGTGATGAGAGTAACACTGAAGCGTTGACAAAATCAACGATAATGAATAGTCATCTCTAAATAATTATAGGCATCTTAATATCATTAGTCGCTTTTAAAATATCGACATCATCATGGCCTCGTTAATTTTAGTATGCTCCTTATCACCATTATTATTAACGACACCTTTATCATCATTACATTATGATAATCATCATTATCATTATCATGCTGATCACCGTTATCATTTATAAACTTTACTTTGTTTTTTAGGTTGGTATATGCTCCAGCTTCTAAAATATATCTGGCTGCGTCTATGTGATCTTGAAACAAATGGTTAGCTTGTA